TAATCAGTAGGTCATTTTGTTATGTAAATAAATGTTGGCATGTAATCAAATAGTTAAGTTGTGTATGCTCTGAGCATTTTGGTGAACTTTGTATAAACCTATGTATATTATCATATTTTAGTAATATAAGTCCAAATGTTTTGATATTTTGTTAAGAATATTGTTTAAAAAGTCAATGTGACATCTCGGACTCGTATCCGGGTCGGGTACGGGTTGGGGGTGTTACACTAATTCCTGGTCTCCTGTTAGTAGTGGAATGATTTCTGGTTGGCGCAACCCTAGTGTGTCTTTAAATGGACAGTTCTACGCCCTATATTGGCGTGATGGATGCAAGCTTAGGTTGTACGATGGAGCCACAGATTCATGGAATAAATTTATTGATAGTAAGCTTCATTTAGGAAGTTCTCGAGCCTTGGAGGCTGATGCCCTTGTTCATTTGAGGACTTTTTACAAATATATGGTCAAGTATAGCAGGCCGAAGTGGCGTGAGAAGTCATGTTGTTCATTTTCAGGTGCTTCAAGTATGAGGAGGGGGATTAAGATTTATTTATCCATGTTGAAATTTCCTTCCTCGTTTAGAATCGTCATGCCTCGGTGTTCGGATTTCAAATGTCCATTCATTAATATCGACGGTGACCAACCAGGGGAGGGAATTGATTAAGAATGCTCGTGATTGACTCGAAGAAGTGGAACAATGAAGTCGTCGTCCAAGGGAAGTTTACAGATGTTGAAGACCGGCGTGGATGTCATCCCATGGTGCATTGCAGTGCAGGTGAGGTGGTTCGCCATTGATGAGGTTAGTTCTTTACATTCATGAGGGAGCAAATTCTTGTAAATGTTGGTGATTTGGGGTTTAAGACTTTTTGTAGCATATAATCTTTGAGTGAAGTGGCGGGGGTACTTGTATTAGAGCCTTTAGACACTGATCTTAAATTTAATCTTTGAACAACCCTAAAGTTCAATGTCTTTCGAGGATTAAGATGTTATTAACTAGTGTTGGAAACACGTTAATAATTGATTAGCGGAAGATACAACAAATGTCTCGGGCATAATCATTATTAGCCTCTTTAATCACTGTTACTGTTGGAAATCAAATGAAAAAACATAGGTCAATTGTTTTTGTCTGAAAATTCATCAATGATGCATGCGCTGAGCGTGCCGCCTTCCCCCATTAGTCTGCCATCGGTCGTCATGGAGAGAGCCAGAAGACATCTATGTTTAAACTTCTAGTAATCATAAAATTATTATTTAATCTTAATCAACTTATAAACTATAAAATCAAAATTTATTAATTATAATTTAATTTGAATCATTTTGACTTCGACTAGTTAGACATTGATTCTTTACTCTTAAAAGGTTGATATTTATTTATTTCAAGTCGTCAACTTATATCCTCAGGGGATTCTTGTTATATGTGCGCGATTTTACATAAAAATATTTATAATTATATTAAGAGTGCTTTTGATAGATTAAGTATAAATATGCTTGCAAATACGTGAAAGAATTAACTTGTTTTATTTGTTAGTATTATAAAAAGAATTAAATTCTTGGAATATATAGATTTTAAAAGTTAAAACTGCTATTTTGTTTGATCATATTATATCCATATTTCATTTTTAACTGTCATTACTAATTTAATGACCTTAAGTGTATTTTATCCAAAATAAAAACAAATGAATAAAATGTTTTGATACTTATGGATAGAGTGATGAAATGACAGTACGAAGAGAATGAGTGATTAAGCACGACACGTTATAAGAGGGAACAAACACTTGATGAAACGTGACACTTGTAAAGTCCACCAACAATCATTATCTTCTTCTATTTATATATAGTCTAAATCATTCCTATTTAAAATTTTATTTTTTTTCAAAACAAATTAATTCTTGACAAATAAAAAAATCATTAGAGTTTTCTTTACTTTTAAAAAATCCAATGTAGTTGTTGTATTTTTTTTTTGTTGATGTAATCTTCAAACTCAAAAAATAATTTTAATATGGTCCTTTAATCAATGTTTTTTTCGTCATTCATCGTTGCGGTGATGATATAATAATTTATGGTATTGACGTGATGATTTTCGATGCAAACGTGGTAGTTCATCTGTCGTATTTGAGATATCAATTTAACTCATCTATTATGTTATCCACCACGTTATCAATTATTGTAGATTGTCACATCAATATCGTGAACTGTCACATCGGCACTGTGAACTAGAACGTCAGTTACTCAAAGACGAAAAAAATTAATCAAATAATCACATTAGTTTTTTTAATATAATGGCCTCTAATACAATTTCACCTTAATTCTTTATACAAACAATTAATATTAACGAAAATCATATAATATCCAATTATTAATAATATGTATCCCATTTCCCATATAACCTGGTATATCACGATCTCTTTTATCTCCAACACAAAATTCCTAAAGTAAAATGCCAAACAATTTAGGCCTCCATCTCCATGTCCATGCAGCTCAAGATCTACAAAGAAAACGGTTGTTATAATAATATGTCTCAACTATCTTGCATGAACCATGCTACATTGCACATGAATGTCGACAAATCAATACGACCACACCTGGCTCAGTTTAGTGTCTTTGACCCTTTGTCGTTTGTAATTAAATTTGTTGATTTCCAAATATCAGTAAGCAAGGACAGAAGTCAAACACGAGAGAAGCGTGAAGAAAATATAATCTATAGCAAAAAGGTAGACGAAAACTGATGACAGATTGATGGGATTTGCGCATACGATCACTGTTGAGTTATATAAAAATGGCAGTGGAAAATTGTAGAAAGCAGAAATTTATACATCAATGGAAGCAAGCTCTTTAGGCTCAACTTAGCTCTTTTTTTTGGCAATCCATCGATTCACTGCTTTTACTCAACATTTGGTGTTGCAGTCACTTTCCCAGTTTCCCCTACACAATCATACCTACAGAAACAAGTGACATCACTGCTTTCTTTTTTTTTCTGCTCCATCACTGTTCTTTGCAAAGAAAACGTAAAGGTAACGTCTTCTCCATGTCTTTGCGTCTACCTAACTTGCATGCTTGAAAAATCCCACCTTTTATATGTTTGCCTTCAAGTTTTAATCTTTCGCTTCATTGAAGAAGCTTAGCTTTTGATTTTTGTATCCTTTTGTTACAAAATCGCTGTTTCTAACCATGAAAGGCAAAGCCGTGGAAGTATATAGCAACGGTTTCGTCCAAGATTATAGCGTTCCATCGGATCTTCCTTGTAAGAAACATCCACAATCATCTCGATCGGTATATGTGCTTATTGTCTCAAGGAGCGTTTAGTGAAGCTGGTTTGCTCCGATTGTGGAGAGCAGCGGCTGTCTTCATGTTCCTGCTCTGAAATCTCCTCCAACCCTCGTACATTATGCACCGGTGAAGTGGGCAGTGTTGGTCGTGTCTCGTTCTTGATAGAGAATGAGAACAGGGACCAATCTCTTCTCAACCCGAAGCACAAAAGCAATAGTGGAGACAAATATGAAGATGTTATCTTTCTCAAAAAGTAGCAGTAGCTGCGTTGAGATCAAAGGAAGACAGGGTTCTGGAGATTCGGAAGGCTGTTTAGGAAGAAGAGGGACAAAGGGATGATCAACGAGAAGAACGATGTGTGGGTCGTTGATTACAATGGGGTGTCAAGGTCAAGGTCTCTCTGTAGTTTCAGGGGAAGTGGGTTCTTCGGTTCGGAAGATGGAGGTGACTCGATGAGCTTTTCGGCTGCTCGGAGTTCTTCGATTTCGGCTGCTCGGAGTTCCAGTGTGAACGGTGGTCTGTGTGTTGACCCCGAAAGGAAAAGCGGGTTCAGCGAAGCAGAGCCGAGGAAAAGCGGGTTCGACAGTGACAGAAGAGACGGTACTTTCGTGGAGTCGGACGTTGTTGCTGCTGATATCAAACCAATGAGAAAACCGGGGGTGTGCTGGATCTTGATGCTGCTGGTTTCAGTACAGCAACAGGCGTGTGTTTTCTCTGAGAGAGAGTTATTTCACCGGTGGGGATGATTCGGGCTTCATCGACTTGAAATTCGAGTTCCCATTGGAATCCAAAGGAGATATCGATACCCCTGCTTTTGGCAGCATGAGGAGTGCTGTGGATGGCGGTTCGAATTCTATTCAGAATGGCTTGGTTGGTGATAATGGGATATTTTGTGGTGGTGGTTCATGTAGGGTAACAGTGAATGAAAGAGGGATCAAAAGGAGTAGAAAAAGTTTCAAGGGATGGAGATGGATTTTCAGGCACAACCAAGATTGGAGCAGTACCAGGAAGAAAAATGGGGAGCTTATGGTCAATCATTGAATAACCCTAATCAAGTTTTAGATAAATGTTTCAATACTTTTGTTTTCCGTGGTATTTCATGCGTATGCTTTCACAACCTTTTGTCAATGTAGTTATGGTGGTCATCAAGTAATGAAACATAAGTTGGGTCATGTAATGGATAGTGAATTTGGATACTTGATATAATTTCAACATGCAAAAAAAAAAAAAACCTGGATATCAAAGATAATACTTCTTAGATTACCAACAATGCCTCTAAAAATTCAGTGCATTGTTTTTTTCTCATTTCCTCATTGTCAAGTTGTGAAAATACAAAGAGGCAAAAGCAGTTTGAGCATCACGATTCTAAATATGTACATAATACATTCAAAATGAACGATTACAAATTTTTAAACAGAAGGGCCAGACCTTAGAACCCTTTCCAATTTCTCAGCCTTGATATAATCTATTTCAGTGAGAGGGCCTGCCGGAAAAGGGGTGATTTCGACAGTAAGATGAGGGGTTGGAAGCTCGTCAAATAGAGCTCTAACGTTGTTGCAACATACACTTTCGCCGTGTGCACTCTCCCTCCTTATCTGGCAACCCTGCAGACAAATACAATGTTTCAAACTAAGTGGTTCCATGTTGTATCCAAGATCGAAAGGATAGTGATAAAGCTATTGTTCTAGACTTCTATCACCTTGTGGGAACTGGCGTCAGTGAAATGATCATCATCAGAGAGAAGGGATGCAACTGCTTTAAGTAGTCGTCGGCCTTCAGATTTGGAAGGGACCCTGTAGTTTCTTTTAAGTGTCCCTTTTGTGGTTGGATGCCATTTGCTCACCAACTTTCTTTTATCAGCTGCTCCTTGTCTACAAGGAAAACAAAGTTAATTGTTACAACGATTTGAAGTAGATTTAATTGAAGCAACCAATATTTTTTTTGCCCATTCAGCTTTTAAAGCTCAAAAGCTGTGCCAATAGCAATCCCTAAGAAGCTGTACTACAATTAGATTTACCTCAAATTATCATGTGCATTAACAGTTTAATATCAGCATGCAGTCTGCTACATGAAGGAACAAGCACAAAATAATTACTTGTTTAAACCAAGAATCTATGCAATACAAACTCCATAGACTCGGTGCTCCAATAGTTTTGAATTCCATCTTTGTAACCCTAGTATAAATAAGCTGTAAAAATATTACAGCCACAACTTATCATTTTTATTTCTTTGAATTAAAAGAACACAAGAGGTTTCCCTTAACGCTAAGTTCTACTTGAGTTCCATCTTTCCTACCAGTGTGTTCAGCCTTATTTCTTTTGATTATTGTTGTTTTTCTTCTTATTAACATCAATATTCTTGTCATACATCGACACAAAAAAGAACTCTGGCACTCTCAAATTTGTTAAGTTTTAAGATATCATTCACAACTGCAATGCAAAGCAATTCTAACATTTTAAAATCAAAGTAGAACACCTATGTGTTGTAATTGGTTCTCTTATCAGCCGCAAGAGGTACAATGTCTAAAAGGTTCGGGTGATAAACTATTTTAACACAAGAATAAGTGTCCTGCAACTTCTCAGTAGAGATGCACATGGAAACAACAACAACAAATGGCCGAATAAAGCCATTCCACAGGTTTGTAAACTCAATTAAAATCACTGCTTATCCTTCCAACAATTTCATAGTTATCGGTACTCCTTTATCTTATAATTTGATTGACCACAAAATGGAAAAACACTAAACCATTGGTGCATTGATGATCGCAATGCTGCATTCATTTAAAGGGTTGAGCAAACGTTAGTAGAGCTTAAGACTTCATATAAGGGGATGGGATTTTTACCTCCAATGGTTCAAATCTTGGAGAAATGTTTTGTTCATCCAAACTAAACTCAAACCTCTAACAGGATTCATTTATCTGTTTCATTGAACTTGCACGTCTCAAACGTGGAGGCAATTAAACAATTAACCTTTGATCTTGATCTTACATTTGCAAAAACATCTTTATCAACATGCTTGAAACAATTGATAAAATTGGTAGAAAAATAAAGAAAAAAAGCCATAAATTAACCTGGTCTCCCTCGTATATTCTCCAACCACTTAGAGAAACCCAAATCAGCACTCTCCCCAACAGTTTCACCACCCTCCATCCCTAACCAATGAAAACATAAAAGCAATGAAATTAAAACCCAAAAAAGAATAACCAGAAAGTAGTTAAAAAAAACAAAGAAAAAGTCGATCTCGATACAAAATGTAGAATGATAACCTGAGATAAGTGGGTTAGCCTGAGATCCAGCTAACCCAGACTTCAAAAGAGCGTAGTAAATGCAAAGGCGACCGGCCCAGAGGACGGGAGCCTCAAGCATGGAAGCACGAATGGAAGTAGCATACCCGGGCGAGAGACAGAGCGGTGATGTTCTGTGGGAAGGTACGATAGAGAAGATGGGGAAAAGGTCTTTGGGGAGTAAAAGGGAGGGCTTTAGGGGGTTTAAGTTGGAGTGGATTTTGGAGAAGGTTGTTGAAGGTGAAAGGAAGCTGCTTTGAACGAGAGAGGGTAACATTTCTCGATTTGTTTTGGTGGGGGTTTTGACCTTATATTTGTATAACAACAATGGAGCTCCGAATTTTGGGGTTTCACTGTATGACTGAATCAAAGTGGGAAATGGGGATGGGATTTCGTTAAATGGGAAGGATTTGGGAATGGAGAAGGAGCATTGTGTTGGCTTTCAGTATTGGAGCGTTGTGGATAGAGATAGATACGTTATGCAGTGAAGGACAAAACAAACGGGCTTTGCTAATGCCGTTAGCAGCCCGATGAAAGGAATTGACGCACCACCTTATCCTCCACTCCCATAATAATATCTCGGCTGAGCCCAAACAAATCCACCTGTTGATAGATGACGCTTCAAATAAAATTATTTAAATTTATAAGTATGTTTTTAATTAATATATTATAAATTTTAATTTCAAAAATTATAATAGCTAAATAAAAGCATTACAAATCTTCATAAAAAATAATGCCATCTAATTTTTAAAATAATACAAAATTTTAGTTATAATACTATGATAAATCTAATGATTATTTATAATATTGTAATAAATATTTTATATTTTTTTTAAAAAGTTTAATGGTCAAAACACTTATTTAATTATTTTGTAAAATTAAATATTATAATAAAATTGAATAATTATTTTATAATTTTTAAAATTTAAAAATTTCATTTGATAATAGTTTGGAGACCTCAATATAATACTATAGTGTAAACATTACTGAATGTGTTGACTTAAATTAGATTATATTTATAAATAGGACTATAATAGTCGAAGAGTAGCAAAACTGGCGGTGACCACTAAAACCAAGAGGCCACCACAAAGAGAAGGGAACACGGACAGCAGTCAATCTGCACATAGGAAAGTAGAAACAAACCATCAATTTGTGTTAAATTCAAGGATAAACTACGTGATTAGTACCTAAATTATTAATTTTAGTCCGTTCTAGTATTTAAATTTTTAATTTTTTTTAAATCATATTTAACGTTTACTTTTTATTTCATTTTCGCACCCTTCCTTTAAAAATTTAACGTGTTTAATACATAAACTATCAGTTTTGATCCGTTTTAATACATTTAACTTTTAATTTTTTTCCAAAACTTAAAGTTAAATTTTGAACAGGATATTAAATGAAATAAAAACTAAATTTTATGTATTATTTTAAAAAGAATTAAAAGCTTAGATACTAAAATATATTAAAACTAATAATTTAAATACTAAACACGTAATATACCTTAATTTCAAATGTGGACAGTAAAGTCTGATCTAAACATGTACGATTTTATAACTTGGTTCTGAATATGAGTTTTGGTAGCACCGTGATATTATAACGTGATCGTTTTTGTTTCATTGGGAGCCTACGTATATTGAAATAGTTAGGCATGCGCACTTCCACGAGAATACTAATACTTTTAATATATAATTAAAAAAATATGTTATCAGTTTTATTATTATTTAAATAATAAAATTGATAAAAAAAAATTATTTAAAACATGATTAATTCTATTTAAATCATTAATATTTTTTAACATTTTCGATAAATTATCCAGTAATAAAAAAATTGATAGAAAAAATAATAAAATCTATAGCGATTTACTAATTTTATTAACAAAACCAATAAAATTTCTAATAATAACAAAAATAATAAAAATAATAATATTTTCGATAAATTTTTATTAATTTTATTATTTAAATAATAAAATTGATAATATATTTTTTTAATCGTATATTAAAACTGATAATACATTTTTTTAATCATTTCCTCATTTACACAGTTCCACTATAAAGTGCAGTTCCAAAAGCAGGACTGATCTGGGATCAAAAGCAGAAGGCTGCCAAAAGGACGAATCCATCACAGCACGCTGCAATTCAAATAATAATATTACCGAAAATGTCTTAAAATATATTGAATACACTAAATTTCGTCCTTATATATATATATTTATATTATAAATTATATTATATATTTATTACATTTTTCTTTTCTTTTCAGGGCCCAACAGCACCAGGTCCAAACCCACGTCAAACCCGTGTAGACTTAGGGTTTCCAGAAACCCTAAGCGCCGCATGCCCTCCCTCGATCTCATCCAGCGCCGTTCTGCTCAAGGATACCATGACCAAATTCCTTGATCCACAGCCCCCACGAGTCTTCGCCATACACGCCTCTATCCCCCGTGCTTCTCGGCAACAGCCAAGATCGTGGACGTGTGGGACTCCAACCAACACGCTTCAACCCACCGAACCATCCGGCGCGAGAGTTTCGGTCATCACCAACAAACACAATAACATTAGTGTTTCATTAGGAGTTAAACTCTTAAAAAATAGAGCCCTATATTGTACTATAATAAATGTGGAAATCAACACAGAATGGTAGAGGGATTATAGGAGAAATACCAGAGAGGATTAGGCACAGGAATACAAGCAAACAAATCGACCAAAAGGCTAAAGTATTTGTACTCGTTGAAACGATAAATAAAAGAGAAAGGTATTTTTTTTACCTTCGTTTTTTAGTTGGCTTTCGTTGCATGCTTGATGTTTTCATTTCATTTGAAACCAAGGAAAACACCTTCAAGGAGGCTCGGCCGATGAACTCTAGAGGAAGGTTCGGGGTTTTAAAACCCAGATCTATTCTCCTCTGAGGCCATTTTGCAAAAACAATGTTTATTTTTGAAGAGGGAATTCAAAAAGCTTTTGGAAAAGTAAAATTTTTGGGTTTTGCCGCCGATGACTGGCAGCCGGCGCCAATCAGAGGCGGTCGGTGAGGCGGTGCCATCGGATTTCTGGGTGTGGGGCGACTGTGTTCTTCATTATGAAGAACACAGATGAAAACCAGAGAAGAAGAGATGGGGTTGCTCTCGGGCGAGAGAAGAAGAGAAAATGAAATTAAAAAGCATTTGATCCGTTTATATCAGATCCGCGTTTGCAATAAATTAGGGTAAACTACCCTTTTGGTCCCTCGTAGCTTTTAAAGAGTTATTTTGACCCCGAATTTGCTTTTGAATTGGTCTCTAATTCTGATTTTCTTTCACTTTAGCCACTTAACTTGTTTTTTGATTCAATTTAATACTTATACTAACCTTTTTTATTTATCCCATATCATGTAATTATATATATATATGTACGTATTTTCTATATATTTCATCTATATACTTAGTGTTAATACATATATATTTTTAATTAACCTTTTTTATCTAGCTACTACATCTTATAATTTTATACATTATGTATTTTTTATTATTTACCAATCTTACTCATTTTATCTTATAATTATATTTCTATTAATATTTTTTTTTTCTTTTTGGTATTTACATATGTATATACATATATATATATATATATATTCATTTTACCTATTATTGATATTTTTCCTTTTTAATACTTTAATATATATATATTTCTTGTTTCATTCATTAATTATTTATTCCATTTTTATTTTATTTATTTCCCCTTTTACTTTTTACTATTATTATTATTTATTTATTTATGCTATCATATTATATTTTATTATTATATACGTATATGTATTACTCATTTTTTACTCTTTATTTCTATATATCTTTTATGTATTTTTTATATTCTACATATATATTTTATTTATTATTTTCATCATTATTATTTCATTACTATTTTACTATTATAATTGTTATTTTATTATATGTATATTACGCATGTTTTTTTCTTTCTTTTTTTTCATTTTCATTGCTTTATATTTTATTTTATTATGTGTATTTTTTTATCCATTTATATTTTATTATATTTTCTTCTTTTTCTTTATTTGTATTTTCGTTTTTTTTCCTTTGCATATTTTATTTTTATTTAGTCATATTTCGTTTTTTTTACATTATTTTTTTTTTATATTGTTTCGTTTGTTCGCCCTATTTTCTATTTTATTACTTCCATTACCTAACCCTTTCCTTGGCTTTTTGAGAGAACTTCAAACAATCAGTGGTAAGCAATTTGGATCAACATTTACCTTTTAATTTAACTTTCAATTTCTTAATTAAAGACAACTGGAAATTACAGTACCGAAAGGGCAGTTCAAGGGTGCTAGCCCTTCCTTGACTGTAACCGACTCCCGAATCCGACACATCTCTGGTAAGACGCAGATCAGGTAAGAAATAGGGTATCCGATCAACCCATTTATTTTTAAATAAATGATCGGTGGCGACTCCAATCCACATTTTCAAGTCGTAGCCCAATTCCGGGGCCCAACCGAAAGACGGTTCCGACAGCTTGGCGACTCCGCTGGGGACCACAGGTAAGTGAGTCAGGCTAAGGTAATTTCCAGTTGTCTTTTTAACGAAAAGGGTAAGTTTAAAGTTTAAGGTAATATTTCGATCCTTATTACTTATTTTTGATTATATTTTTCGAGTAAATAGTTGGACTGACCGTTTTCTAATGATTTCAGCTTTCCAAACATTTTCATCTAAGGCTCTAAACCCGAGCTCCGAACCCGTTTTAAGTGGGGGTGAAAGCGACGCCTTCGTGTGAATTTATTCACCGTATGGGCCTAGCAAGTAGCCTTCGGGATTCATATACCTTATGCCTTCGTGTGAATTTATTCTCCGTATGGGCATAAGGGAATGTGTCCTCTCGAGTTTAACTTAGTCCACACAAGCCTGTGATGGGTTCGGACTAAGGGTCTGGTCGGTCCAAGGGGGCGCCAGCAAGGAGAACTCGAGTACCGTTTTTAGAACCCAAACCGGGAGGCTTTGAATAAATAGAGCCTACCCCAAAACCACATTCCAAAACCTAGGACATTTCTTTCCTAACCTTTTTATTTTTTATGTTTACCATTTATTTTTATTTATTTTTATCTATTTCTATTTTACTAACGTTTTTGCTTTTATGTTTGTTTTCTAGCATTTGCATCATTACAAGAGGCTATTGATCCCTAAAAAGCGTTCGTTATACACAAAATAATTCGAGTTAATGGACAAAGGTGTTGTAATACAAGAGATTGAAAACGCTGAGGCACGACTATGGTCCGAGAAGGCTCAGAAAGAGAAGGGAGACAGTCTTCAGGGAAACTATGTGTCAGAATGGTTAGTTATGCCGCTGTCAGCCTGAACAGAATAATGTCCAGGAGCTGCGAAACATTGGGACAGTTGGAAGAATGACAGAAAGCAGAAGTTCAGCCAACGATATGGTGATATCGCCCTCTTACTCCATGTCAAGAC